TATATATATATATTACACATACACAAAGCTGGTATCTCATCCAGAAAATGGTAAGAAGTGTGATAAAGCTCTGCTTTGAATGAGTCAGTCCATCTGGAAATGAGTCACTTATGTGCCCTTGTCCATAATCTACCAGGGAAAGTAACAACTCGCTAAAACACAGGCTCTGAGCCAGACTTTCTATTTTAATCCCAGGCTCCTTGACCTAGAGTCATTATTTACCAGTTCCCTGATCTGTAAAATGGGATATACAGAGATATTTACTTCATAGTATAGTGTACAGCTTAGGAAAAAACAAAGTATCAAGATAAGTCCCAGTCAATCTTCAATAAATCCTCATTACAGTTACTTTAATTCTTTAACATGTTATTCTCAATCTGACATCTCCACTACCTTTCTGCACTTCAGTGCATCACTATCAGCTTTCATTGGACTAACCGTACACGTTGACTTACAGACACATGCAAGGCCAAGAGCAACAATATGAATGTAGATGTCAATTATTTTGTCATAGTAAACTTACTGCCCCAAAGTCCATTGAAAATCTTCAATACAGAATATTTTTTAGTGCTCAAAATGAAATATGGTCAATTCAGAAAGATGCTGTGGTAGTAAAGAGAGGCTTGGAATAATCTTCTTGGTGGCACTTGTATGGGAATGAGTCACTGCTAGATATCTGTATATTGATTTCATCAACCTAGTGGAAGATAAGTTACTATGTGAATTATCATACCTTTTCATTATAATTTGACTGCTTCAATCCATTGTAGTGGTAGACAGTAAAAGATTCAGGACCACTGGAGCCCTATTATAAATAAAGTACTATTAAAATTAAAATTTTATCTTTATAATCAGGCAATTTCTAATGAGCAATGAATGTAAATGCAAGTTTCTTAAATCTTTACCCTCTCATTAGGGAAGCATTTGGTAAAGTGAGACTGAGATGGAATTAACCACCAGAAAACCCACAGCTGAAGTAGTTGCTTTTGCAGAAGAGGCTGGAAAGCAGGGCCCCGCTGATTTGCACTATGAGCTTTTCTGCACCTGTTTATTATTGTGTACATATATTACTTTATTTTTTTAAAGGACAGCTACTAAAATAGAATATATCCTATAATACATCTGTGCTTTTTCTGTCAATAATTATTCTTCTCAATAAAAATGGAATATCAATATCACTTATACTTAGATTATAATATATATGCACAATAACTTCCAATTTATCACACAATACTTAATTAGGGTTTACATTCAAAGAATATTTTTGAATATTGTTAACTTTAAGTACTGTAAAGGGCATTGCAAGAAATGAAAACAATTATAATACTTAAGGAGGTGTTAATGATATTCAATAAAGCAAGGATATCCTAAAAATCACTATCCCACTAAATTGGAAGAAAAACTGATCACAACATGCTTACTGTTTTAACCCCGCCTTTCAATTAGATAAAGGCGAAGTACAACTCTCCCCAGCACTCAGGGTCACGGATGGAAAGCCCCAAGGAAGGCACCTGTGTCCCCGTGGTCTCCTGGGGCACAGGGCACCATCTTCTGTGCCCACATCCTTTGCTTCCTGCCATACCTAATACAAGGATATATGCATGGCCCAAACTGGGCCACACTGCCTCCTTAGGACTTCTGCCAATTGCAACTACTGTGGCTGTAACTCCTAGAGAAAGATGGGCAAATAAAATGCTGTCGCTTTGTTCCAGTCTCTGAGGAGCCAGAAGCCACTGTCCAGGGCTGGCTTCTTCAACTCCTTTGACCTATCCCTGCCCATTTGTGGATCTTTCCCTGTTTCATCCTGGTTCAGGATCAGCTTCTGAAATTCACAGTCAAGAATCCTAAAATAGTACAGGATTTAAACGACTTTCTCAGTCTTGTCTTCAACCACTCAACTGTCTGAATTCAGTTTTAGACAAGCAGATGACTCAGTTTCCCATGCAGAAGTCTTTTGCATATTTGCCATCTTTTTGCTTCTTTTCTAAAATTCCTCCTCTCCTGCCTCCTTTCCTTTTTACATATAGTTTTTCCTAAATGCACCAGATAACTTCTTGGCTGATTTGCAAGTTTCATAAATAAAAGCTATCTAAGTAATTAAGTTGACAACGAATACTACATTGTAAGAGCTCTTCTATTATTTTGGAAGACTGTTTACATTTTTAATGCATTTAATTCTCATTTTTTGTATTCCCAATTAAAATGTAAGTGCTCTAATATTTTTTGTATGCCACTCAAAATATACAAAACAAAAAACATGATACTTTATTTCATGATTATTTCTGTAGTCATAAACATGAGTCAATTCAATTAGCTATTCAGATGAGTAATTTGTCTCTTGATTTTTACAATTATTTTAGCTTAAGAAATTTTTACTATAATCAAATATAATTTTCTCTCATTCCATTAACTAACAACTGGCATGAAATAGAGAAATATCAACAAAAGGCAGTGCAACAGAGAGGTAGAGTACTGAGATTCATGTCAGATAGGCCTATTCTAGATTGCTGGATCAGCCACTGAAAGGGTTAGCTCTTTGATCGTAAGCAACTTTTAAATCCTCTAATCTTCCGTTCCTCACTATCAAAGTGAGGTAAATCATAGCACTTTTTTTAAAATAAAAAGTTTGGTGCTTGGAATGTAGTATGTGCTTAATAAATCAGAGGTGCTATGCATATTTCTCATCATACACAAAATGCCTTGAAAAGCTTGAGTATTCTCACTACCACTAACCCCTGCACCAGCATCTGCCTTGTAACAGATAAGTGCTCTTTTGTTGCATCCACCTGAAGCATCTGTAAAGCTAAAAGTGTAGTATGCTACTGACTGTACTTACAACTGGTTTTTCAAATGTATTCTAATTATTTTTGTTTGGCTAAGGAAGTATGCACTGAGTGAGTGACAGAGGTACTATACATTTGTGATTACCGAGACAGATGCTATCAGTGGTGTGGGCTATGCTAGATGAGATGGGTGCTGCGGAAGGTACTGAGCTCCCACAGTATGTGCACAGATGGAAACAGGACAGCCAGAGTAGCTGTCCTCAGACAGGACTCCCCAGCAGTGCCAGGGGCAGTGCTCTGAAGACAGACTGCTGCACCCTACCTCCGCACCGCCTGACTCATTACCTCTGGGGAGGAGCTTGAGACTTTATGTTTCTAACAGGCTCTTGGAAACCACATGTTGTTCTAAAGGAAACTAAGGGCAGGATGAAAAGCTCTGGGGGAGAAGTGAGCATGAACTCCACAGGGGCAATGAGCAAGCCAGGTTCAGACAGAAAGCGCTCCAAATGACACGAAGTGGACAGGAAGAGATAAATTCAGCGGAACAAGCAGGACAACTAAGAACAGAAAACGTGCTCTATGCAAAACAGAGGGGAACTAGAATGCTTTTTTTTTTTTATTACCTTAAGGAATCTACTATTAAAAGAATTAGTAATGAGCACACATTACATATCCTAAGTACTTTTCAAAATCTTGCCAAAATTAAATTAAAAAAAGGACAATTACTTTAGTTCATTGTATTTAAAACCAACAAATAACTATTTCTATCAAATGCTGATAGCAGCCTTGGAATATAATGAAGTAAAGTTAAAATCAGTGCCTTAAAAAGTTTTAAATACTAATTGTTGAAACATATATCAAGATATCTAAGACATTAGATTGCAAGAAGAACTTTCAAAATAAATTTTAAAAGCCTAGGAGGTGGAGTATGAATACACAGGAATCCCAGTCCAATGTCAGAAAGTAATAATGTAAGAAAACAAAATGTATTTCTTTTTTTCCCACTCTCAGACCACAAGTTGTGCTGTACTCCTGGGAACAGAAAGGCCACTTGGGGCAGGTCTGTCATGCATTAAAAGGGCCTAAATCAATCTGTTTTTATAAAGCATCTATCAATGTCTAAAAAAGTCCAACTGCCTATACAAGGATAACTTCAGTTGTGTGTGAATTTCATCTGACTTTTTTCAAAATGACCATAACAATTAGATATAAGGTTAGAAATTATGCATTCCTTTCGAATTACAAACATTGAGTATAACTAACACTATTTTGATAAAGGTAATTTAAATCTAGATATCACATTACTAGTTATGTCATGGAATTTAATGACTATATCTTGGATGTTTTGCTGTCCTTTTTTAAAAATAATTTTTGTACTTATCAGTATAGTTCTTTTACAATAGAGGCAGAACACAAATTGGCATTTCTATTGGAACAATGAACTTTAACTTAAACTATGCTTCTATCTGATGAAATGACCACAATATAACCAGCTGAGAAACTTAGTTCAATGGTAATGCACTTCATTTAGATAAGAAACAAGAAAAGGGAGGGGTGGGAAATAGGAATAGCTTGCCAGTAACATAACTCAAGGTTTTTGAAACAAATATGGATTCTTAATAACCGAGCTATCAAAGTCATTTAGAAAGCATCCCAATAGCACAGCTCCATTCAAACATAGTCTTTCTTTTACTCAGGTGAAACTCTGCCAGACATGAGGTTCACTAGTAGGCGCTATCACTACTCACAAAACCATCGAGAGAGTGTAGACAATCTCTTCATTCCACATAGCTCTGATAATCATTCTTGTTTTAGGAAACTAGTACTATGTAAGTGTTGGCATCTGAACCACTCCCTGCTGGCCCTCCATACCCCTATGTCACCATACTGGTGCCCACAGACCCTCTGATAACTCAGCGTGGAATGGAGCTATGTAATAGTCTCATATTTGCATATTAGGACATCCTGAAGGCATCTGCTAATGAAACAACAATAAATATATTAACTCTGTTACCTGATCAGGAAAAAATTCTTGAAGAAATGGACCCAATAATATGATTCCTAATCCTTCTGGGTCTAATTTATTCTTCATGAGGTTTATACTATGGGAAGAAAAAAAAAAAAAGAAAAACAGTAGATACCAAAGGGGGGAGAAGCTTTTCTTTTCCTTTCATGATTAAATTACTGGTACTATAACACATTTGCTGCCAAAAAACCTTAAGAGCTGTTCTTTTTAAATCTTTAATGACAAATACATAGGAATGACATTAAATTTGCCAAAACTTGGTTATTTTTAAACCCATGTAATCTGTTACTATTTAAAATTTAAATTATGACGATGACTTTGGAATATTGTTCCTTATTAGGTAAAGTAATTTAAAAACCAAGGCTTATAAAACCAAGCTTGTAGCCTTCCAAAGGCAAATCCCCTTAGCATCATCATAGGTATGCCAGAATTTATCAACCAAATGAAACAAATGAAACTAAACTAAAAGGTTTAGTTTAAAGTTCAAGGAGAAAAAGAAACATATCAAGGCAACAGTGCATCAGACAATCTCTTAAAAAGCTTATTTTCAAGAACTAAAATAGGCTTCAAATTCTTAGCCAGTTCAAGGTAAAGGCTAACAAGTAAGGCGGTCCTACTAGAACTCCAGTTCAGTGACCTGTGTTAATGGTAGACACTGCACCCACTCAGAACAGCTTGACATGGCCAGAGTTCTGAGCAGCCTTCTGTTTAAGTGCATCAAACTGTGGACAGTGTTGTTATATGTGCCTGAAAAGGAGTCCGAGAAAAGCAGACTGTAGTTGAAAGGGTTTTACAAGTTTTTGGAAAAGGTTTTTCTCCATGTTATTCCCAACTAGAAATGCCAAGTAAAATTTAGCTTATTATGCAGCAAGCTAAGCAGTGACTCAGGGGAATTGGGGTCTTAGTTAGCCAACTTTTCCCCTTCACTTCAATTCCAGTCAAAGATGAGTCTAGGCCTCGTCTATAGCTCAGGGTCTCAAGAGTCAGCAGTGGGAGCAGGCAGGTAGCAGTGACAGACACAGTTGGGTCACAGTACCCCTTGCCCGGAAGGTCTCTGTCGGAACCACTCTAAGAATTTGGGGGGTCCTTACCCCTTTCCTGTATTCAGTCTGGGTCAGCTACCAGGTGTTTCTTTCATAAAGAGAGGCTAAGCCATCCTTGTAAGGTTTGCTTCATTTAAGCTTTCTGAAGGCTGCACTTGACTACTGGGAACCACCAGGCAGCCTTGTGCTGTGACACAGTGTCACATAGTGTCAGCGCTGTGAGAGGCTCAAGTGGGCTTGCATCAGTCCTACAGCCAGGACCTGCCACCTTCAGCTGGACTACTATGGTGAGAGGTGGCACAGAACTTTGGGTGTGAGTTTGGCTCCACCCATGGATTATACACACAACAAATGAAATTGCATTACATCTCCTCTACTTAACTTAATCTTTAAAATGACCTAGTTTATTGGCTATCACATTTTTAAGAGTAGGCAAAAGTATGAGTATGTAACTCAGTGTAATCTTTCAGCTACTTCTCAAAATACAATCTGAATATAGCAACTGTGTTATGCTTCAGGAATCTTATGTATGCTGAAAAAAACCACGACAATTAGCTCTTCAGGTAAGATCTTGAAAAAAAAAAAAAACCACCTCCTCAGGAAGGAAAAAAGCCTTTTTCTTTGTCATCATCCCTATGTGAAGAACTACTGAAATTATGATTTTGATTCACTTATGAATAAGACTAAAAAAGATGGTCTCTACTTGCAAATCTGATCAGAAGAAACAGCATTTGCTATATTACAATTTATTGTACTAATCCATTTGTCACTTTTATTCTTCAAGCCAAAATGACATTTGTACCCAACTACTGAGAACCAAAACTCCCATACCTCAACTTATTAAAAAGAAAAACAAGACCAAATTCTAAAAACTGTTCCATGTGTCATGGTGTTCTTGCTGACTCGCTGTGTTCAAAAGCTAAAGTTTGCTCACTGTCAGAAAAAATTTGCTGAAAATACAAATTGTAAAGAGAAAATGAATGTTAGTAAGCCTAAATTAGTGCAAATCCTTTATGTTTATTTTCATTTCCGATCAATTCTTATGTCCTCCAAGAAATATTTTCTGGCAGATAGTAAAGATACTAATTATCTAGCTATAGTGGTGCACACCTACAATCTCACCACTATGAGAGGCTAAGACAGGAATATTGCAAATTGAAATCCATCTAGGCAACTACAGACCCTGCCTCAAACAAAAAGGGCAGGCATGTAGTTCAGTGTGAAGACCCTGACTTCAATCTCTAGTACGGCCAAAATAAGGGAACAAAAACAAAACAAAATAAAACCCCCGAAATCCTAAATCAATGGAGGAAATTATAAATTTAACAGTATATAAAACTGTACAGTGAGGAATGAAGACAGGGCCAAGTCATTAGCACAATATTATGTATCTACATTCTGTGACACAATGAGGTGACCCCGAACTCAGAACAGTTCTTCAGTCGTCTGGAAATGTTTGGTGTCTTTAGTCATCTTGAAGACGGAAAATCAAAAGTCTGCTGGTTACCTAAGTAGCACAACCAGCACTACTGTATTTATATTACCCAGAACTTTCATTAAATAGATTCATAGTTGCAAAAAATACATACAATCTTTAAAAAAAGATTGGAAAACTCACTGCAGAGAGAAAAATCTTACTTCAGTTTAATAGAAAAAAATTTTTTAGTACTTTTTAAAAAACAAGAAAAAAGTACATGGTGGGAAGGGACACTCACTGTAAATATCGTAACATCTGTGGTACTATGGCAGATTAGGCTGATTTCCTCTTATATCTTTTTATGCATAAATTGTTATTATTTTGTGAATGTATTTTTAAAGTTATAAATGTATCTATGTACTAGATTTAATGGACTCTTCCCATTTAGCTTACTATTCAGGATCTGACACAAGGTCCAAAGCCTTCATCACATCTTCCAGAAGAGAATCAGGTATGAATCCATTATCTGGGAAAAAAAAAAAATCAGAAAAATTGAAATAAAAATTTATTTCAAGAAATAGTATTATTGAGTCTTAGCCCAGGTCCAGTGAGTGTGTGGAGAGCTTTCTGCTACCCTGTGCCGGCGGGACCAGTTCCAGCCCAGGAGCGGTGGGGGCCGGACCCTCTCCCGCCCCCTCGGGCCGGCCCCACCACTCCACCATACGTCCCCACCCATCCCACCCAGTAGGAATTTCTGCCTACTTCCGGGAACCCCCAGACCCAGTCCTAGCCCAGGTCCGGTGAGTGTGTGGAGAGCTTCCTGCTACCCTGCGCAGGCGGGACCAGTCCCAGCCCAGGCGCAGCATGGGCAGGACCCTCTCCCACCCCCTTGGGCCGCCCCACACCACTCTGCCATACCTCCCCACCCCTCCTGCTGAGTAGGAAATTCTGCCGACTT